AGGGAAAAAATGGGAGATAAACTGCAATGTTTGAAAATTCATAACAAAAGTATTTTCTTTCGTTGTTAGATTTTTTGGTTGTGAGCTCTATTGTTCAGTTTACGAGATCTTAATATATTGGTCCACTCCGGTTACCATTTAGCCATCGATTTTGATACTTTAGTATAATGTTATTTAATATAGCACCTTCCTACATAACAATTATATGTATTCGAGTTACTGCTACGCATTAGCTAACAGTCAGTGAATTTTATTCAAAATATGTAAAAGTTTATATTAGCACTCTTTTAAACAACAACGTAGTAAGAAAATTATTGGCGTAGAAAGCGCATGTGCACGTGAAGCTAATTTAGCTTTTCTGATATTGCACCATTAATAACTAGTAAAAAAGCATTCAGAACTTTATATGTAATGTGCATAATTTTCTATTTTGCTGGGTACGATCCTGATGCTCGCAACAATAATGACCCGAAGTCACGATCCATTCACATCGTTTAATGAATATGAAATTATTTTGTGAACACAAGTCATAGGACGATGTCATTTTGAATAATAAATGCACTTTTAGTAGTAAAGTTGTGGCAGAGCGGTTAATTTTTTTTATTATTATTGCATACAAATATAGAGCAGCGATGCCATCTAATTCGAAACTTCTCTATTTTTTTAATTTATTATTTCATAATTTGTATTTATGCACATTTCTTGAATTCAATGTATAATTGCTCACAGTGATTAGCTATATGTCTATATATAATTAGGTCATTTGTTTACCTGTTCTATGCAAATATCCATGCTTAATCATCTCAAGTTGGAGCTCACATTATGTTTGACCCATTATTCAAATTCAGTAATGAGAAATACCTGAATGTGGTATATGAGTTTACAATTTGCTAGTGAATCCTCTTACACATTATCTTTTTTATCTTAAACGTTTACGTATATATTATCTAACTGTTTTTAAGTAATGCAAAATGCCTGTACAAATCCGTGCGAACATTGTAGTATGGCCTTATTTACATCAAGGTTAATAAATTAAAATTTTCAGAAAATTAAGAAAAACATTTCATTACTCGAAACACTTTTTTAAATAACGGATAATGTAGGTATATTTATATATTTGTATATTTGCTCATTAGTCCTTTTTTATACTTGCGTATGTGTTTAACTTGTATTTTTAAGAGTGCAATTGCAGATTGAATTAAAACATAGCTAAAACTGACCATTTACTAGTTTTTACTTTGATTTTTAGATTTTATAACCAAAATATTTCAGATATGTTTCTAACAACTATGTATCAAATGCTTTAAAAACATTTTTAAATGTTTTTTTCATCTAGCTTATAATAATTAAATCTTTTATTTACAATAATTTGTTTAATATTATTAATGACAATATCTGCCATGGTATTTATGATTAAGATTCGTATAAAAATAGTTTAAAAGTGTAAAAATTATAGTTTTCGATCACAAATTCAATTTGTTTGTTTTTCTATCACAAATTAGACTTGTCTGTTAATTTATAGAATAACTTTAATTTAAATTAATTATGATTTTACAAATATTTATTTCAAGAGTTACGAGCTCATAATATAATTTTCTAGTTTTACCATAATATCTGATAATATTGACTAATTTTGATAATTATACGATTTAATTTCAAAAATGGTAATTTCTTACGATACTAAATAATTATATGTGTGAAGAAATCAATACAAGATCACAACAACTATCGAATGTTTTAAAGAAAGATCTTCTTGTATGGTATTTGTTTCTAATTATTTTTTTTATCTTTTTAAACTAAGGGAATTTTGGATTATAGATAAGTTAATCAGGGTTTCGAGAAATTTACTTGCATTTCCAAGAAATATATGCACCATATGGGATTGGACATTTGGGTCGCCAATTGAACTTTATCACAAAACTTCTGTGATAATATTTTTAACTCTATATTTAACTACTGGTAATCAATTTATTAATGATAAATAAATAAGCTATTGCATTTTTACATTTTAAATTGAAATTGATAAAGGATTAACGAGAAATACGTACGTAATTGAGAAAAGTGTAATAATCCATGGATTATTTAGCGTATATTTTGAAAGTGCCTCGTATAGAATTTTGCTACAATATTTTATATTCAATACAAATAAATCAATACACACTGCATATTATTGAAAAATATTATAATTTGTTTCTATTTGAATAGTCTGCTCTTACTCTGTGTTTGACTTTCTTAAAATGGTTAAATCACTTATTACTCTTTATACTTCAGGACATATATTTCATTTAATGTGCTTCTGATAAACGTTTTGTAAAACAAATTACAGAAGATATATAATGTGTAGATATCACAATAAAAAATAATATTTATTTAATTAACCACCAGATCGCCTCAGTAACCTGCTTAACGACCACTACAAGAATTAAGTACCTTAAATATTACAGACTCTAGTGTTTTTTTTTTATATTTATCACAAAGTCTATACCAAGATAGGTTATTGATGTTGTCTCAATTAAAAATTGATGCATCATACAATAAAAATATTGAATAACCAATAACAATTTATCTTCTAAATGCCTGTGATGGAGATCCCCGCCTTCACCGGTCTTACATTTTCCTCTGTACATAAATCCCCTTTTCCAATTTATTACCCATTGATTAAGTTTTTTCGAATCCGTTCAGACGACTCATTGTTCATTTCAAACAAATTTACAACGCTAGTAAAACATGTCATATCTCTTACAATTTCTGGTGATGAATGTCCTACAAACACGGACCCATTCAACTGACACGCTTCTCGAAGCATCTTGCGATCAATATTGCTGTCTGGTTTATTATATATGTAGTCTTCCAAATCATATCAAATTAAATAGACCCTTAACAAGGTATTGTTGTTTGCAGAGCCGAACTTAGGAATTGTGGTAATTTTCATTAGAGACGATAAACTTTCTTACAGCGACATATAAATATCGTTGAAGTGATACACTAATGTGTAGTTAAATTTAGAAAAAAATTAAATAATGCTAAGTGGTAGTAATTATAATGCCTATACTAAATGAACTATTTCACAACAAATAACAGGAATCATGCAAACAATTATCGATCTATGTTCAGTAAAATTCCCAATTGTAGATATGTGTTTTTTACTATTTTTCTAAAATTTGTCATTCTATCATTCTTGTAACTTTAACATGACAGAAGTCAATAGTTTCAGACTCACGACTTTTCATATAGAATTTTTGACATGAAACTTATAATTTAATATTATATTTTTCTATATAAATTGAAAGAAATTATAGTTCAATATTCATTATCTATATAATTATAATTTTTAATAGTTTATTATTTCGTATAGTTTAACTATATGTAAATATTTTATTGAACATGCAAACATGTGCGTGTATTCTTCGATGTTCTGATGTTCATCTATATTATTTCGGCTGTAGTAAAGGGTTTCAGTGATTTAATGTCCATGGTTCAAAAAGTATTGATAAAAACATAAATAACACAGTACAATATGACACGCACTTACTACAAACTACAGACTAGACTTGCTATACACTATTCTATATTTTTACTTGTAATGATATGATATCATTATACATATTCCAAATTTTAGTGATAGGTAACAAATTAAATAAATCCATTATTTTCCTGTAGTTCCCGTAGGGTAAGTTATAGTTATCGCATAAAAATGAAAATAAAAATATTTGTATATCTTTATTTCACTTCTGAACATTCTGGCATACCTGAGAAAAAATCGATGCATGTGTGTATGTGCAGTTACATTTTTTGTCGATGATTTTGAGAACACGGATCAACCGATTTGAATGATTCAAAAAACATTTGATTTGTATTGATCAGAAAACGTGCTGATTTTTTGCCAACGGCAGGACCAGTGGTTTCGGAGATGCGGGGCTAAACGGAACATAAGATTTGAATGATTTAAAAAACATTTTAATTTTATTGGCAAAATGAAGAATTGATGAAATATTTGGGAAGCAGCAGTTTCGGAGATCCAATGAAAAAATAGAAAAATTGCTGAGTTGCAGCCAAAAATGATCATTAGACATAAGCGCATTAAATAACCAAATATTTTATAGAAATTTTAATAATAAGTACAAATTTGGTCAAAATCAAGATTTATAGTGTTTAACCGTTAGACAGCGACGCGGCGCTTACGCGCTATGGTGTTTCAATTTCATAAAATTTAAACAGGTGCGCATTGCGACTGCTTTAAAAACAAAACAAATTTTTCCAAAAAAATTTAAAGCTTTTAAAAGTTTTAAATGACGGTACGTAAAGTTCCAGCAATTTTACTTAAAAGGCACGATGCCATTAACTACTTGCATTTAGGTTCAAGCTTTTATTTACGATCATTTGTGCCTCCTGATATGATGAAATATATATCTATTTTTTTTTCTTTTTTTTATATACTACTTAATTTGAATATTTTAAGTACAAAAAGCAAATAAATCTCTCAAAAGAAAAAAAATAGGTTGATTGTTCCAATGTCATTTTTTTTTATTTTAGCATGATAACAGAATTTGGAAATCATATCAAGGAACACTATGAATGAATTTGTTAGATGTTCTGTAGTCTAATATGATTCTTCACTGTCAAAAAATATCTTGATGTTCTGAAGAGTTTTCTTTATTTTTAATGCGCAAATGCGAAATAACTTTAAATTTTATTTTGTCATTACTGATTTGCTTCTTCTGGTGCTTAAATCTTTGTAGAGAAACGAATCAATGACTTAGTTGAATTTATATCTGAAAAAAATGTCTATGTTAGTGAGTTATTTTATTATTATTAGTTTTACTTGAATAAAGATAAGGCAAATATCACAATTCTCAATATTAATCAATTATAAATTATTTTTTATTACAATTTTATTCAAATTAATCAAATTATCAATTTTTATTGTATGTATAATTCACCTTTCCTAATAAGGCCTAATAACAAATTAGGTTCTAATCCATTTTCTCGTTCTCTTGCAGCCTAAACCTGTACGAATTGATTAAGAAGAATAACTACCAAGGATTTAGTTTAAGTTTAATAAGGAGATTCACCAATTCGTTAATCAAGTGCCTGTGTCTGCTGCAACGAGAAAACATCATACATTGTGATCTGAAGCCGGTAAGCCTATTAAATAGTCCATAATTATTGTTTCTACATTTTTATGAAATTGATACCTCTTGATTTTCACAATCATGTGAAGTACCGTCTGCACATGGCGTTCTTGAATTTCATTATAGCACTAATTAATTATTAGATCGTACAATCGCATTTGTACATGGTATGGGTGGAATATTTAAATTCCATTAAATTATTACTTAACAACTTGATACCTAATGTAATTTAAGAAGATTGAGTTTGCTTCTTAAGTGTTCATCAATGGAATAATACTAAATTGTTGTATTAGACTCCTGTGGGTGGCAACCTAGATAGTTAAAGCAAATTGTTCTTGAATGCGAAAAAAATTAATATCACGAAAAATATATTTTAACTTTAACTACATAATTAAGTGTCAATTTTCATAATTCTTTGCACTCTATTTTTTAACTAAACTATCGAATGAATATTTATTTATTTATTCAATGTGGTTTCAAATATGTTTTTGCAGCCATTGATTTTTATGTAGTTTTTTTATATTTTATTGGGTGGAATAATCTTAAAGATAACTATACTTATAAAGGTTTACTGCCTAGGAATTGTGAAATATCTTGTGTGATGTTTTTCTTGGCTCATCTTGCTTATTTAAGAACTGAATATATTTTTTTATCATTTTCTATTATGGTTAAACTAACACAAATAGATATTTTTATGTGGCTTTTACAACTACAACATTACAGGGGTTTGTAAATTTGCACAATTTTTAGAATTTTTTTCAATTTTGATTAAATTTTATATTCATTCTTATATTAATCATGAAAGTTTTTTCAGATGTCTGATGTAGACATAAGATCAGTATTATAATATTTTATGTCTTCATTTCTCTTCCTTGATATTTTTTTAATATTTCTAAGTGATTTTTTTAATATAATGTTAGAACTAAAACTTGTAAGAATGAAATGATCATTTGGATCTCAAACATTTTCATCAATATATATCTTCGTTAAAAAAATGTTTTTATTATAACTAATAATACTTTGATTTATCAGAATTTCAATGTAATGTAGAACCAATATTACAAAAACATATTTAATTTAAATTATCTTTTTTTTAATTTAAAAATTCTCTAATTAATTTTACTTCGTTATACTATATACTATATATATATACTCTTTAAATGGATGTGACTCAAAAACTGATATCGATTTAGAATTTTGGTATGTTATTTTTAAAGGTATAACCTATCGAAATATGGAAAAATTGAAAATTCGATTTTTTGAAAATTTCGCACTAGTTGTGCCCCTTAAGAACTCTTCGAATGTACATTGTATTCAATAACTATTATCCGATTTCTTTATATGAATTTTCAAATAAATTACTTTTTTGAGAAATATTATTTCTGATTTTCAATGACAGATGTAAGAATTCACATTTTTCCAAATGAGTAGGAAATATTAAAGGTTTCTTTTATTATATTTCAGGAAAATGTGTTGTTAAAACAACGCGGCAGTTCATCAATCAAAGTAATCGATTTTGGCAGCTCTTGCTACAGTCATAGAAAGGTCTACACCTACATTCAATCACGATTCTATCGATCTCCCGAAGTTATTCTTGGGCTATCCTATGGACCACCAATTGATATGTGGAGTTTAGGTAATAAAAATAAATGATTATTAACAAACAATAATAAAGAGAGGTCTATGGTGTGAGAGCACTACGAATAAATGATCACTCTTACCTCCCTTGTTTATAATCACCATTACTACTTCGGTTTGGACGAACTTTAATTGGCACTGATTTTGAGGAACGGTGATTAATTAGCTCTAAAATAACAACCTGACGAATTTTTGTTTGCATGGTGTTTTATCGAAGTTGTTAAGTACGAAATTTTGAAAAAAAATTATAACGGAATAATATACCAGAATTTTAAATGAGGTATTTCAATGAAGGAAATATCCTGTTCTTCTGCAAATGTAATCCGATATTCTATTGGCAGAAAAGCTTTCTAACATATGAGAATGTTTCTTTGCTGATCATATTACATCATGTTCTAAATAATTTATTAATAAGATTATCTTGTGTAAAATTCAAAATTTTACAAAAGTATTTAGTGACCTGAAACCTGTATACTAGAATATTTTGGTCCTGTAGGGTAAAGAAATGAGCCTTATTGAAAAAATGTGTTTAACTGTCTATATTTGTTGTTGAATGTAATACAATCAAAATGATACAATCTCAAATTGTCGTAAAATTTCGGTTTCGAATGTAACAATGGACATGGATATGCTATAATTGCCTTGTAATCGCTATAGCATTTGACGGAACAAAAGAAAACGCGGGTTGACCTGTTCCAACTTAAAAAAAAAGTCTTCTAAAAGTCATTGGCTATCAAGAATAAGTAATTAACCTTTATGTAACACAGGTTGCATATTGGCTGAACTTTACACGGGTTACCCTATTTTCCCGGGCGAGAACGAAGTCGAACAGTTGGCTTGCGTAATGGAAGTGTTGGGAACGCCTCCAGAGGAGCTGATCAATGCCGCCACCAGGAGAAGATTGTTCTTCGGTAAGGAAATTATAAAATAGTATGAAATATTTGTAAAAATGGGTTATGAAATTATTATATGTACACTTATTTAATACTTAATTTTATTCTAACCACTTAATACTTACGGCAAATTTGCACATGAACAAACTCAGTTCGCTCATTGGAATTTTTAAACTTATCACGACTTGTTGGGCGGTCGGATCACCAAAAGAGGTTTATAAAATTTTATATTATATTTTAATATATTTGTACATTAATGTAAAAAATTTCAATAACTTCTATTCTTCAAATATAGTTATACATCAAAGCGTTTCTTGGGTCTGTAACTCGACTTCTTCATTTGTTATTATAAATTAAACCATACTAAATTTTTATCTCATAGTAATAACATTCTATACACGGTGCAATAAAAAAAAATAAGATTTTTTTGCCAGTAAATGTTTAAAAAATGTGGGCATTAAGTGGTTAAACTGATTTTAACCATTTTTTAGTTAGTCAAATTCATTAGTCAGATGATATTCGTGTTAAGGTTTAAGGCTTTTATTTAAAATTAAATCAACATACTACGGATATCATTTTATTGAAGATTCTATGCATTATTTTGTGCTCTTTTTATTAAATTTATATAATTGTTCATTACTGTTACTAGATGTTAATTATTTAGCAGTTGTAACAAATATAATAATTGAAAAAAAATAAAGGGTTGCAAGTCATTGTTTTCCGTAATAACCCTTATTTAACTGTTTTCTGCAGCTATGCGAGCTAGTAAAACGCCCAAGTATTTGTTATATTTTTTTTAAGATTTTCCGATCATTATTGATAAAAATGTACATTTAAAAATGAAAAATTAAACTTTTATACAAAAACTAAAACCACAATAACAAATTATAGTTCTCAATTATTTAACTCAGAGTGATAAATATTGCAGCAAAATTTCTCACACTGCATGTCGTCTATGGACGACCCTCGTAGCGAACGGGTTAACATAATTAATTCAAAATATAATTGCGAGTTTAAAATTGTTCATATGTATGTTGTTACTTTCATTTTACTAAATTTATTAGTATAGTATAATTGAAATTTTCCATTATTATTGTTAAATTTTCAGTTCGCGCTATATAAATATAAATGAAATATTAAATCAACTTGAGATACATTGTACCGGATATATGATTCAACATGTGTTTTAACATCCAAGAGCTACTCATTTATCATTTACTACACCAGTGATGTTTCAATCGCCAGCAAAGAAATCCTCACGTAATTTATTATTTCTGGCACTTAGTTCGACTCGAATCTGCACGTTCCAATTAAATTAATTTATTTGTAATTAACAGAAGTATCTTTGTATTCCCAACAGATTCCAAGAACAATCCCCGCTGTGTGACAAACAGCAAAGGCAAAAAACGCAGACCCGGCACGCGACCTTTGTCCTCAGCACTCAGGTGTAGTGACCCACTTTTCATAGATTTCGTCGGCCGCTGTCTAGAGTAAGTGTGCTGTTTCATTATTAACAATTCGTTGCCCACAACAAAATTACACTTGATTAGGTATTCGATTAGAAGTTTTGTGTTTGACTTCGTAGTGGAACTTTGAGAAATCAAACTGCTAATGTTCTTTGTTTCGTGTTTAGATTTGGTTTTGTTGCTTTGGATAAATTTCATTTATTGTGCACACTATTTATTATGAATTATATATCTTATATAGTTCATATTGTTTAAAAGTTGTTTATATTTTTCTCTAATCTCAAGTTTCATTAATCAATTAACTATGGCAAACTCATTAAACTGTGCGCTCAGTATCACTGGAATCGTTGTAAAATGTGGTTTCTGAGGTAAAATGTCACTAATAACTAACAAATATCTATTTTATACCGGCACAGCTTCAAAATATAGTAAATATCTTTGATATTTGAGAATGTTTTTTTTGAAAATTGCAATCTAAATAGCCAACGGTCAAAGATTTATACCCATAACGAGTATATTCGTCAATACACAAAATTGTGCTACGTCTCCATGACGAGCAAATCCGTCAATCACAATTGTTAATATTACATATAAAATACAATTTATGAAATTTGGAACTTACTCGCAAAAAGCCCATTTTGAAATAATAAAAAATGGGTTATTCCACATATTGTTTTAGTGGTTTTGCTACCATGTTGGGTTTAACAATAAAATTGGCACCGTATTTGGTTTTGTGAAAGATTTTTTTTAGAATGAAGTAATTAAATGTGGTAATATCGACAAATTGCATAATTCTAATTCATAAACTTATGTTATAAGAGGCATTTGTTGTTTTGTCGTAGCTCTGATAATAGAAATTAAAATAAAATTATTGTGTTGTCATGCATTTTCCTAACTATTCAGTTTTTTGTTATTTTGTTATTTGTAATCGAAATATAAAATATTTATCAGTCGATGATAAAAAAATATTGCGTCAATATTTATATTTTAGTATGAGGACAATATTTATCAGTCGATGATAAAAAAATATTGCATCAATATTTATTCTTCTATTTGAGGACAATATTTATTAGCCGATGATAAAAAATATTGCAGCAATATTTATATTTCAATTTAAGGCCAATATTGTATAAGGCCATTTATTCCTCAATATCGAGTAACGTTGGCCTGATCGATTAGTTGACATCATCACAGAACCGACGTTTGCCTATATTTGTGCAATATAGGTAATCATGGCTACAGAAAACCAATGTTGATAATATTATATATTGTACCGAGATTGATTTCTACATGGGATTGGTGAATATGTTAATTGTGACGTATCGTCATATATATTAAATTACCTGTATCAGTTGGAAGTTTGACAAAATTTTAAATTCAGTTCAAATAATATTTTTTGTTTACGATAGAATTTTTGTGAATTATATTTTAAAATTATGTAATTCCTCATCTTTAAAGCAGGTCTAGGAGATTTCACCAAATTGATGTGTAAAACCTGAATCCAATATTAGTGTTAATTCGGAATATTTTCTGCTGTTATTTGAAAAAAAAAACAATACGTACAGCTCGATAAAATTGTATTTCTTTGCTTAGACCAAGCGAATACAAATTCAATAAAGTGCATGCAGTTAAATACAGATGTTTCTTAATCGAATCCGATTGAGTAGCATTTTTTAGATTTAGCGGAACAAAATGCACCACTAAAACTTCAAATGTCTATATTGAACACTGAATTTCCGCAATACCACTTTTAACATATATCTGGTAGTAAAATTTTATCGAACGCTTCTAACATCTAGCTTTATGATGCCTGTTAAACTTTTTCGTCGCAGCTGAAACTCATATGGTTTGCATTGATGGGTCGTTACATGTTCTAGGAAATAGATTTTGATGGTATTCTGCTATCTTTATGTGTCATCACAATAAACTGCGCAATTTAACAGAAATTTAATTAACTTATATATATATATATATATATATATATATATATATAGCCATGCATACAAATATATACGTATGTATATGTATTTAGGCATGTCAGCTATATGTATTTATATAGTATAGGGGAAAAAACTTAGTTTTTCAGTTCTTAGCAGAATACATTGCTGAAAAGGCGTAACCATCTAAAAATTTTTGGAACCTCTTTGTCTTTGAAGTTTGTTTGCATGTTTGACTTTGTATGTACGTTTTGAAAATTGGTGAAAAAGAAGTAAAAATGTTCTAGAAATTTATTTTGATATATGCCTTGTATCATGTATTTTTGTATTTATTTATTCTAGGTTTTTGGTTCAAATTATCTAACAACTATACGTTAGGTTAAGCCAACATCTCAGTTATAAACTATAACTTAAATATATTCAGTGAAATTATAAGCAAACGGTTTTGTTAATTATCGTTAACATGATTTTTCGAATATTTTTGATTAAATTATAAAAATCTATATCTAGACAGATAGAGTAAATTAATTTGCCTGTCTAGTTAATCAAATTCGTTCAAAGATTAATCAATAAAAAGTAAATAAGAAAATTCATATAAGTTCTTATGATAATATATTTTTTAATAACTACATTTCAAACTTATTTGGAAAATATTTGTATTTATTTAATCGTATTATCAATTCTTTAGATGGGACCCTAAAAGACGTATGACACCCGATGAAGCTACCTCGCATGAATGGCTCCAACCATCAACTTCGGCAGCTTACCTTTCAGAGAAAAGGCATTCGCATCCAGCACAGGTAATAGTCATATTCAATGATTCTTCCATCATTAATCAAAATTTCTTATATTAAAATACATTTATTGAACTAATTTTACTTAGTAACAATTGATTAGTATTAAATGAAAAGTGCATATAAATTGGGCTAATAATCAATTCTAGAGGAAATTATTTTTTATCTATAAAGAAATTAGCATTTGAACGTGATTCTTTCCTGAATATGTATGCTCTTTTACAATAAGTATGTAATAATATAAAAACCATATTCTGACTTTCTCAATTTTTTTACACGCACATATAGTCAAATATAAAGAATTGTCAATATATTTTAAATATTTATTATTCGATCAATAAGTTATTTCTCTATATTTCCATCAAATGATAAGCTAGGAAATTCAAAATCTAAAATGCTTCTGAAATGAAATATCAATTTTTTAAAACCAGGATGGAGTCGAGTTTGTATGCAAACACGCTCGTACTCCTTATATAAAAAACTAGTAAACCCAGCGAACTCCGTTTCGCCACCAGATGGTTTCGTGAGAAAGATAAAGAATTTTATTTTTGTTTTATATTTAAAAAGGAAATTATGTTTAGGTTTTATAAATAAAAAGGTAGCTGTCACAATGTATCTACCGGCACCATCTACTTAAAGTATTGGTTTGTAGTACATGCTAAGTATCAGAGATGACGTTGTATGTGAAAAAAGATTTATTCGCTTTTCTGTTGAAAATTTTCTTCAATTTTCTTTGCGATAAACCTCACGGAGCCCGAGACCTTTCCAACGAATGCAAAATCGTCGAAATCGGTTTGTGCGTTCTGGAGTTATATCGTCAAGAAGGAAAACCCGACTTATTTTTATATAATAGATATTTTAAAGTAATTATGTGTAATGTAACACATTTATTGAAACACTATTTTTAGGTAAAGACAGCACCAAGTCTCCAAGTTGCCACACTCAAGGAGATGCCCTCCGCTGGCAGTATGACACTTCTTCCTGACATCAGGCGCAAACCAGAGCCTGCTCAACGTCAAACGGTCAAGGCGCAATCTACGACGGCTGCCAATTCGGTTATGACGAATAGCGTAGGAGATTTGGAAGGTGCCCAACAATGTTCACTTTATCGTTTATACCACCAGGGTAAGCGGGCAGCTTTGCTTTACCAGCAAGGTAAGGGCACAGGGCCAGGGCACATGTCCCATTCTCAATCTACGGGAGATGTTTCGGGTGTATTAGGACGAGCGTGATTACATTGGACGGAGACATCGAAAGACGACACTTGCGTGCTTAGGTGCTAAGCTGATATCAAAATCATCAATTGACGCAAAGGGACGTATAATATATATGGCCAATTCATGTTCATTATGTCCATAATGTCGTTAAGTTTTGGATTATCTGAGCTTATTTTAGCATATCGATTATAGCGTTTTAAAGTCCTTCTAATTAAAATGTTCATTATTTTGATTTTGTATCGAAGTCTGTAACTTGTTAATTAATGATTTTAATGTCAGTTTTTTTCTTAAATATAATCAATCTACTTATAAATTGGTTAATAAAATGATAAATATCGCAATAATGATTTATGACAATTTTTATTAAATATAAATTTGAATTTTGCTGACCCAAAAAGTCCAACAATAAGTGAAACGTTTTCTCCAAACAGTGGCCGCGAAGATATAACCTACAAGTAACCAGGTTTTCAAAAATGCGCATATGTTTAAAAGTTTTAAAACAAAAATGATGTCATTGGCATTTACAAATTAGAAAACTTTGCCTCCGCATGCGCATAGTGAACTTAATGATGACGCCTAATATTAAAATGTTAGACTAAATATATATTAGTATTACTCGTTATGAAACATAAACGTGATCCCTTGTCTAGAAGTAGTTTTATTTATAGTGTGTGATGATTTAAATATAAGCTTTTATTAAGCCGAATGATCGCGGCTCTAAGCGAATTATTTTTATCAGCACTGCTTTAGAATTGTATGCCTTCTTCTTCCATTCTACTTGATCTGTAAGACTAACATTGTTGAACAACTTTGATCTACAGGTACTAATATTATTAGAGCTGTATAGTGTTCTGAATATGATTTAGAAAAATCGTTCTTTTGGGACCGTTGATTAGAATTTAGGCTGTTAAAAACAGGGACATATTACCTATTTAGAGAAATTATAAATTAGAGAAATAGGGCAGATTGATTACCTTGATTTAATTCATAATTTCTATCTGATAAATGCAATTGAATCAAATAAGCTATCTGGTGTGATGTAATAAGTATAATTGTTTTGAAAACAGTATAAGCTTTTACCTGTCTGTCTTTTTAGGACTTGATGGTAGTTAATTCTTTTGAACCGTTTGTAAACTATGTATAATAGGTGAGTTTTCTTATAGAAAAAAAACATATGTTAGATTTTAAGAACGACTTATTTTAACAGTGGCATATGAATCATATTCTTCTACCATCATCGGTTTCAATGTCTTCATACCATGTATATAATTCTATCATTAATAACTGGATATATAAATAGTGTATTACTAGAATTTTGTTACTGATTATTTAATGAACATATAACATTACTTTATAAAACTACTTATGGTCTATAATATTTTAGTAAATATAATATAATTAGTTCTAATCTTTTCTAATCTTTTTAAAAAGTTGAACATGCAAATTTCTAGCAACGATGTATTTTATATCTAAGGAATTGAAATATGTTTAACGCCAAATTTATTTAGACTTGATAATATCATAATATACTAAAACTATAAACTATCTAGTGCATACTCATAATGAATAAGTCACTAATCCTAGATATATGCGTAAGTAGACACGAGTCATACCTAAGCGCGTAAGATGGTATTTTATATATGTAAAACTAGCATGAATTGATGTTTGGCATAATATTAGTGATAATATTAGATATTTCAAAATATTGTTTCTAAAAATAAATTTGAATATTGTTTTTTGGTTATTGAACAAAGCAGTAGACTGTGTTTCAACACTTTGTGGAACTGGCAGATACAATTTTATTTAACAGATATACTGTTTGTTGATTGTATTGCCAGTTTGTTATAAGTGTTAGGATAATTTAATGTTGATTGTTTAAAAGCAAAATTGTTGAAGACTGCTGCCACATCAGAGATTCTTATAATAAGTTCTGAAAAAAACTTTCATAATATCACCTGCATTACAATGGAAATTACAGCTGTAATTCTTGAATTGATGGAAGGAAAAATAATATGCTGTGATTGACATTTTGTAATCGGTTACCGAGTTAAGTGTGTGACACTATTTGCGAATAGTAATCCTAGAGTAATGTTAATCTTCTATATACGTGATAGTACTTTTGATACACACAAATCATGCCGTTTCATTTGTCGTGATCTCTTTATCTTCTAATCATTTAAAGATAGTACCGTGAAAAATTTTTTGCTATATAAATGACTTCCAAGTTCGTTGTCGTTCAGGACTTGTGCACACAAGCAAATTTTGTTTTATACATCACTCACAGAAATGTTTTTGTTTGGAACAAAACGGGTTTGCATTATATTGTTTTAAACACTCCAAAAATTTTCTGTGTGCACTTGTCTTTATTTTGTATTGCTGCGATTCTAAAACTGCAGTTTAGTATTTAATTCATAGAAGTTTTCTCTGTTGCGTATTTTAAGCTTTAAGATATGAATATTTAATTATTTTGGCAATTTAGGAATGTTATCTCAGCTAAATCATATATTGGTTAAAGCGATATGAAATTATAAATATATAAATATATTAAATATTAAAAGTATATTTTAAACGTTATTGTAAATTTTAGAGATGTTAGCAAACATTTGATTTCAAATGACTAAAATGAACTTTTGGGAACATTTAATAAAAAGACTATTAATCTAAATATTAATTGTTTTCTTACATTTTTCTACTTTCAGAACGTGAACTGGATTTGTTTTCAGAGAAACGAGGGCTTATCTATTACTTTTACACAACGGGCCTCCAATTTCACTTGAAATATATTTTTGATTCATGTTTTCACGCATTCTTTCTAATATTATTATTGTTAGTTTTTTATTATTTAAATTGTTAATTACAGCTTTTTTCAAAATTGTTTACAGCGTAAAATGCTGCATTGAATATAGTCTAAAGATAAGTAAATGATGTAAAAGATGTTAATCGAAAGATATGTGAATATGTAAATGATACATCACACTCGTAACGCCGGTTGAACTTACTAAATAAATATTCTCGTTTAGATCGATAAAGCCTTTTATATTCCTTTAGTTAAATCAGTTTTGTGATATTACAGATTTTATTGTTTAATTGCGGCGAGTGCTATATATTTAAAACATATGTAAGAAATTATCTCTAACGGAAATTTAGAAACTATAAACCAACAAACAAAGAGTTATTGTCGTGAAGAGCGTCGTTAATTCTACGACAAAACATTATGTTCGGTTACTATAGACAAAGCACTTTTACTAGCAATTTTATAGCGCGAATAAAAATCTATTAATAATTGACAGCATCCATTATTAATTAATTGAAAACCAAAGCCGCACATATGAATTATGTCTCATCACGATTTGACTGCTCCGAAGCGCTTCTTGTAGAGGGATACACAATACAACCAGGAACGAGGAAGTAAGTTTATCATGTTAAGGTTTATTTTTATAAACTATCGTTCGTTTTTTACATAAATCGTTTTTTTTTTCAGGATGGAACCTGAGGCCTTCTTCAGAAGATAGGAAAGTTGCTCTGATCTTCGGATTTAGAATGTGCTCAACAAAAGCAAGTTACACAATTGCGGGACTTTATATAAGTTTAGCTCGCGATATAAAGTTTCGTGCGGTTTGCGGTAGAATACTTAATATAATTGAATCAGTTGATTAAAACATATTTTATAGATTTCTGTACTCAAAGTTTTTAATGTATTACTATCTACATCACTGTAATACAAGAATTACGTGTTTATTTTTACAGACGTCGAAACTAGTTAATATTGTATGAGTTGGGTGATGTTTTCAAGTATTTGGGGTTGACGGTTTGTGTACCGGTTTTACTTCAAGCTTAATTGTATAATTCATGAATGTATAAAACATAAAAGTTTATTATTTTTTGTACATTCAAAGCTAACGATGCTTTTCCAATGGTTATAAAATACTATTGTTCATGTGGCATAATTGAGGTTTACATTAAAATCTAAATAATGGCATCTCATATTGACGTAAGCGAAATTGTACTTATGTATATTGTCGGAAACTTTTAGTATTGTGAATAAATGTTATTGATAATTACATACATAATAAAATGAATTTTTGTAGAATCGATTCGAATTTGCAATTTTATGAAAACTGTAAAATGTTGAGTAATTTGAACAATTTTAAAAGCTTTGCAATATTTGTAGAAGTTTGAAATTTTATAGGAACTTGAATTGAAATTAGTACGTAAAAGATCGGTAAGACGGGCCACATTTTTAACCGACCTGGACGTAAGTCTGATAAAATGGTGACAATGGGCGACAGGTTTTGGACTCATTAGTGCTTTTTTACATTTGCGTGTGCCAGTTTTAGATGTTTCGCCTGGGTATGTCGAACTCAATATTGAAAACACTGTTTAAAACTTTTATTTTGCCTATTGCCCTACAGGAACCGCTGATAGGAATTTATCCATGGGGGGGAGGATCTAGAGACAAATGTGCCATTCTTTTTTACATTCTAATTAAAGTCATTGTCTTTACTTCTATCCATGCATGGCAAATCTACGAGAACTTGTCTTGGCATATGTCCGATCCACTAGTGAATATGGTGGAGCTCTCCTATTCAAACCCGTCTCTATAAAACGTGGGCAAGAAGATAGCGTTCTTCACATATTTAATGTCTCCTGAACAAGAAGTGCTTGAAGTAGTGTAAGTTTACTCGAAAACTGCCGTCAACAAACAGCATGTGTGTAAAAAATAATAGACCGACCCGTGGCTCCGATTCAGCCAAACTTGGCCTTTTGTCGATGGGCTTCTTAGTATGTTCTGTGCCACATAAGTAGCACTCTAACTAACATTTAGTCAAATTGTTTTTACTACACATAACTATTCTTCCCCGACTCCAATAGCCATCAATATCGAAAAGTAATATTCAGAATGTAACATAAATATATACAAGTCAGGCCTCATTAACTATTTTTTATTTCGTATTAAGCTATTTACCATTACCTATTGTTTAATTCATTTTTCAGTTTCGTTTTATAATAAAATTGTGTTAACTGTATTTTTATGAACCTCACATTTTCAGTGAAATTTAATCAAAATGTTTTAAAATTTATAATGATTTCATCATTATTTTATGTACTTTTATTCACTTGAATTTTAT